GCGTTCCTCAGGAACGCCCCGGGACGTGACAAAACGTCGGCATGTTACGCCTCGGGAGTGAGAACGGGCTCGCTTTAACATGTACTGACCAAGATGTAAACGATCTAAATGGGCTTCAGAATGTAAATGTCTGCAGTCATCAGGACACAGCTGCTGGGCTTAACTTCAATCTACGACTCTATACTCCATCTACTTTAATATCTGCATTAAAGTCTGTTATTACAAAGTAAACACAGCTTGAAGCAGATTGTTGAACAAAGTAAATAAAAACCTGACAAATATCTAAAACCACTGCTTACCTTCAGTCACTGTGATGATAAACGGTCCCTCAGCTAAATCAAACGCTGCTCGCTCAGTCCTCACAGCAGCAGCTGAACTGCTCTGAACTCTGCATCTACACACAGATGATCTAAACAAATGGAGCCTTAAATCACGTCCCACTTTATCATTTTAATTCTTTATTGGACAGTTGATTAAATAAAGTGGGTTTTAAAGAAGACTGAAAACGACTGATTTTGACCCTAAAAGTTTAAACTTTAACTGTTTACTGAGGTCACAGATCGACTATGTCAGTTTCCCCACAGACTTCTGTCAAACGCTGCCACCTTCTGGTCATCAGAGAGAATTTCGGGTTCAAGGCTAATCAGACGTAGAAGCTACATCCTTCTTTTATATACAGTCTGTAACTGTCCCTGTGGTCGTTAATCAGAGACTCGTCTGTGATTTATATTTTTAACCTGGTTGGTTAAGTGCCTCCAAACGGTCCAGCAACAACTTATTTCAAACTGTCTCCTTCATTATTTTTTCTTTAAAGCCTGTTAGTCTTACAAGATGTTATTTTACTCTGTTGCTTCTCTGACAGAAAAAATAAAATAAAAATATCCAAAAGGTTTTGATTTAAATTGCAAAGTATTTGATGACAATGATGTAATCTGTTAGTGTGTTGGTCCTGTCCTGCATCGGTCTGATTATTACCTCCAGTGTCTTTGTTTTAAAGCCTTTTTATGTAAAGTTTTGCATGTTTTTGTTTATTTCAGTTGCCATGCAGTGTATCATTTTCTAATCATAGAGCCATACAAACATTTTATTGTTACATATTCATATTATTTTGTAGTGCAGTTATTGTCGCAGTATTAAGCTCAAACTGGTCTCTGTGTTTGGGGAGGCTGATGAAAATATAAGTTGTAAAAACTGAGATTATTTCTGTGTAAATGTATTTTGGTTCAGTTTGTCAACCCACAGTTTTACTCAGAGAAGCAAATTTAACAAAGTTTAGTTGGAAAAAATGTTATTTTTCACAACGCTCTGTTTCTTACTTATTGTTTTTATTTAGTTATCACTTCATTTCTTTTCTTGTCTTTATATTCAGACTTTAATCCTTTAGTCTCATTGTCTGAAAAAACAAAAATCCCAGTTACGTGGACGACTGTGCTTTTATTCAACCTTGTGTTTGATGTGAATTTGGCCAGAATTTGAACTTTGAACTTTCCTTCTGAGTTTAGTGTTTTGAAGCCTTCAGGTCTGTGAGGAGAGCAGTTCCCTCTACACCTCCGACCAGAATGTTTAAAAAAATAAAATCAAGGAATTAATTTATTTTTCACTGGTATTGATTTCTGAGAACAATAAAACTGAAGTACAACCATCAGTGCTGCCTGTGTGTGTGTTGGTTGTAAATGTGTTGCTGGTTTTGTGACTGAAGTCTAATTAAACTTGAAGTGAGCAGGAAGCCTGTTGGAGCTGCAACAGCCGGAGGCTGACTGGAAACTTTCTGGTGAGTTGAAGTTTAAAATTACACACATTATATTTGTTACAGAGCAGACTATATTTAATATATTTAAGGGACAATTTACATTAAATGAAAGAAAAACATATGCAGATGTTATCTGACAAATGTTCATTAACGACCCATAAATGTCCATAACACCAATTCTGGGACCAATGATCAGCAACAACAAAGCACCAGTCAGTTTGTAGCGCCCCCTACTGGCAGAGGGCCCACAGTCCTGTTAACACAAAGCTCAAGGTGGGATCCTGACGTCATGGTTGAGGTGAGTCTTGTTTTTCTCTTCGTGGAGGTCACACTTGTTCACACTCATCCTTCGTTTATATGTTTATGTTAAATCTACACTGACCTGTACCCCGTGCTGTGACCTACATGGCAGCCTGTGACCAGAGATGTAGCAACACGTTACACAACGATGTTAAAATGCACAAAACGTCTTCAGTTTAGAGCTGACACGTTTGGGACGTTGCAGACAATTACAGATTTTGTTCATGTGCATTTTGTCTAAAGAGTGAAACATTTTAAATCTGACACGACATAAAAATATTTATGCAATCAAATCAATTTTGTTGCTGAACTTTGAATTTATCTTTGACAGAGGTCACTGGTGGTGATTAGACTCTTATATTCCAATATTTATTATATTTCGAAGTATAATGAATATTGGAATATTGTAAAAACAAAAACAAAAAACCCAATAATAATAATAATGAAAAACCATTAAACTAAAATTTAATGGGTAAAAAATTATGAAAATATTTGAAGTTGAAAAACCTGAAAAACAGCCAGAACTGTAGTTTTAGGACCAACAGACTGATGAATAAACCAAGTAAACCAAAGTAAAGACAAGCTGCACTTTGACTTTTATTAGAACAATTTGCTGGAACTACAGAGTAATGAAGTACTTCAAGGTTTTGTGTGGATGACTTCCAACCTTACTGTACAGCACAGAGCACAGAGGGACAA